TGGGCGTATGTTTCCAGGGCTGTTAGGAGTGGTGGTATGGATTTTGCCGGTTTTGTGATTGTAATAAGCAGGTCGTCTGCGTAGGCTGCTGTTTTATATTCTTCCTCGTGTATTTTTAGACCTTTTATGTCCTTATTGTTTCTCAGGGTTTGTAAAAGTGGCCCTAGTGATAGTGCAAAGAGTACTGGGGATAACGGACATCCTTGGTGTGTGCCGTTGTGGATTGTAAAGGAGGGGGGGAGTGAGAGGGAGTAAGAGGTGTGCTTGAGGTGTGGCGTATAGTACTTGTAGGGCGTTTATAAATCTCTGTGAGAATCCAAATTTTTCTAGTGTGGCGAATAAGAAGGGCCATAGCAGTCTATCAAAGGCCTTTTCGGCGTCTAGTGATAAAAGCAGGGTAGGGATATGTCTCGATTGTGCTGTCCAGATAAGGTCATACGTCCGTCTTGTATTGTCGCTAGCCTGTCTTGCCGGTATAAAGCCTACTTGGTCCGGGTGGATTAGTCGGGGTAGGGGGGGGCTTAGACGGTCTGCGAGGATTTTGGTGAACAGTTTGATGTCGACGTTTAGAAGTGAAATCCGTCGGTAATGTCCTGGTTCGAGGTGAGTTTTATTGGGTTTAGAGAGGAGGCATACATTTGCTTGTAGCATTTCTTTTGGTAGTGGGTCGCCTTGTAGTATGGCGTTGTATGGGTTAAATAAGTGTGGGATAAGCGTAGGGGCGTATGTCTTATAGTAGAGTCCCGTAAACCCATCTGGGCCCGGGCTTTTGTTGGGTTTTAGTGCTTTTATTGTCTCAGCCAGTTCTTCCGGCATTATAGGGCCGGATATATTTTGTGCTGCCTCTGTTGGGAGGGTGGGCAGTGATATTTGGTTTAAGTATTGGTCTATTAGTGTTTTGGCTGGAATTGGGTGTTGTCGTGCTTCCGGGGTATGGTCATATAGAGTTTCGAAGTACTTTTGGAAGACTTTAGCTATGCTTTCCAGGTCTTCTGTGGTGACCCCTTCTGGTGTTGTTATTTTATGTATCTGTTTGTTTTCGGTTCTTTGTTTGAGTTTGCTCGCGATTAATGTATTAGCTTTGTTTGCTTTGTCGTAGTAGAATTGTTTTGACCATAGTAGCTCTTTGGTTGAGTCTTTCGCCATATATGCTTTAATCTCTGTTTGGCATTTTTTAATTCATTCGTTTAGTTCTTGTGTGAGATCTATTTTATGTTTGGCCTCCAGAGTCCTGAGCATTTGTTGTGTTTGTTCTAGTTGGGCTACTTTTTTCTTTTTTTGTATGGTTGCTTGGTTTATTAAAGCTCCCCTGATTACCGCCTTGTGGGCTGCCCATAGGGTTCCTTTTGAGTTTGCCGTTTCTTTGTTGAGTCGAAAGTATTCTGTGATGGCTTTACCAATTGATTGTCTTATCTGTGGGTTGTGTAAGAGGAGTGGGTTTAGTCGCCATGACCAGGCTCTAGTTGTGCATGGCAAGTTCAATGTCAGTGTTATTTCTGCGTGGTCGGACCACGTGATGGGGCCGATCGAAGTGTGTTTGGACATTGGTGCTAGCGCTGGGGATATGAGGAAGAGATCTATACGGGAGTGTGATTGGTGTGGGTGTGAGAAGAAAGTGTAATCTAGGGTTATGGGATGTTGGGCTCTCCAGGTGTCTATTAGGTGTGTGCGCGAGATGAAGGCAGATAGCAGCTTGTCTGCTTTGGCTGTTGGTTGTCTTTAGCGAGTTTGAGTCAGTGATCAGCGTCTGTCTACCGTGGGTGATGGGGTAGCGTTGAAGTCCCCACTGATTATAGAGTGGTGGGAGGGAAAGAGGGCTAGGTGTGCCTGTATCGTCTGCCAGAACGTGCTGGAGGGTGTGTTTGGTGCGTAGAGGGTGATGAAGGCGTAGGAGTAAGTGCCTATCTTGCCTGTGACTGTGAGGTATCGATCTTGTGGGTCGGCTATGGTGCGTTGAATCGAGAGAGGGCAAGATTTCCGTATTACAATGGCTACTCCGTTGTGCTTGTCGTGGGGTGAGCTGGCGAAGTGATTGATTCTGTAATGTCAGCTAAGGAGAGGGAATTGTTTTGCTTGGGTAAAATGTGTTTCCTGCAGGAGGAGTATGTCTGCCTGGGATCTGTTTGCCCATCACATTAGTTGGTGCCTTTTGGCGGGATTGTTCAGGCCTTTGCAGTTAATTGATAGGCAGGTCAGAGGTGCCGGCATGTTTGCTGGCGTGGAGGTTCTCCCGGTTGTAGGTTCGTCCTCCTCTATTGGGTGGTGTTTTGTGTGTGAAGTAAGGGGGTTAGTGGTGGGAGATGTAAGGATAGGGTGTTGTTGTGGTGGGGTTTGTAGGGGCTGTGGGGGTGTTTCGATGGATCTGGGGGTGTAGGGGTGTTGGGTAAGTCCTGGTTTTACTGGTTAGTTGCCAGGCGTCAGTTGGACGGTATGGTTTGCTTGTGTGAGAGGTCTGTTTGCTCTTATATGTGAAGGTCGTTGCGAATATTTTCTTTGTGTGTCCTGTGCATCTTGTGTGTGGTTGACGGTGTTCGTTTGGTTAGGGTTGTGGCGAGGAGAGAGGCTGGAGGTCTTGTGCTGTTTTCGTTCTCTGTTGGGTCTCTCTGCGTTCTTGTACATGGTGACATGAAGTTAAAAATAAAGTTAATGTTTGTCATAAACATTTCAGTCCCCTTGGTATGCCAGTAAAAGCGAAGACTCCTAGGAGAAGACAATATAGTATACACAAATATGGGTCACAGCTTAATAAGTACTTCAATGTGCGAGACTGCTAGTAGAGGCTGTTTTCTATGTAACTTTAAACATAATGTGAAGGTTATCTAGCCATTCAGAGTCAATACATACATCAATTTTATGCCAGATTTCGCCTCATTCCCTGCATATATTTACGCCAAATACTCTTATATTTCTAAGTGCAGTGGAGTATGATCACGGGGATCTGTGTGTGGGTGTGGGGGCATTATCGGTATATATGTGTTGGGTAGTTTGAATTCGTGGGTGGTTATTAATTATTTTTACCTTCTCCCCCCCGAGTGACCAGTGAACAACCGTAGGGTATGGGTTTCTCAGTGCTGTGCTTTGTTGAGCTGTTATGGATATGTGGATCTTGTGCTTTGCAGGGTGTGGAGGGGGTTTACCCATGGGGTTAAATGTCGTTGTCCTGAGGTCTCAGCTTTTCTGAGCGTGCTTTAAGTCTGCTGCCCGTATATATTTAATCTGGATTGATCTTTTTGGTGGGCTGAGGGTAGGGCCGTGTTATAACAATTTCTGTTTCACATTTTACAGTGAGTAAAGTCTCTCTCAGGTGGTCTCTGACGTGTGATGTAGTATTTCATCTGGACCTCAAGTTTGTTGTGTTTTTTGATTTTTGACTAAAGCCCATACCTATATATATATTGGTGTGGGGTAGTTTGGGTCATTTGGCTCTTTTTTACTGTCCGAGGTGTGGGTTGTGGCCGTGTGCGGTCTATTTCTGATTCTGGGGCCTATGTTCTCATAGGGCATAGGGTTTAGTGGCCATGCTGCGGGTCGATTTTTTAGGTGGGGTTTTTGTTTGTTGCAGGCTTCGGGGGGGTTAGCTTGCCTCTGGATGTGTGGCATTTTGGGGTGGTTTGTGGCTTATGTTAGGTCTGTGGCTTATAATGTCGGGATCCTTTTTGGGGGGTTTTTCTGAGCCCCTAGGGGGTTGGGTCCCTCTATGCTTCTGGGGTAACTTTTAACATTTACTATTGCTAACGTTTTTCAAATAAACAGAAATGAACATGGTAGTGAGTCATCATAGTGAAACCTCGTATACACTACCGGTCTCTTAGAGTCTGCATTCCCAGTACCTGGGGAGGAAACCGAAACTCCGTTTTTTGTGGAGAGTTCCATGTGTCTCCTGTTCAAGTGTCCATTTGTGTGAGCTCTTGTGAGGCGGGTGGAGGTTTTCTCTTGGGCTGCGTGCATTGTGTGTTTGCCTGGGACTCTCTTCTTCGGTTGGTGTCTTCTGCTGTGGCTACGTTCGGGTCCGCCGGTGGGTGTCATATCTGTACCCCCAAGTGTGCTGCAAAATCTTGCATGTCTTTGACATGATGGAGGGTATAGGTTTGGTCTCCTTTTCTGGCAGTCATTTTGAAGGGGTGTCCCCATGTGTAGCGCCAGCCGGCTTCTAATAGGGCGGTAGTGAGTGGCACAGCTCCCGGCATTTTCGAAACGTTGACGGGGCCAGGTCTTGGTAGAAATGCAGTTGTTGCCCTTGGTATGTGGGCGAGTGATCTCTTGCCGCTTTCACAAGTTGTTGCTTTATTGGAAAGTGTAAGATTTTGACAATGATGTGTTTGTGTTGAATGCTGGAGGTCTCAGTGCCCTATGGGCTCGTTCGATATAGATTTCTCTTTCTGGGGTCTCTGGTAGCAGGGACTGGAAAACCGCCATGATGGTAGGTAGTATGGCGTCTGGCAGAACAGATTCCTGCAGGCCCCTGATGTGTATGTTTTGTCTTCGGGACCTGTTGGTCTTGGTCTACACCAGTGATCTTCATACAGAAGCTTTGGGACCTACAGGACATTCTGTGTGTGATGACGGAGAATGTAAAGACCTTTCATGGTCAAAGGTCTTCATGGGAAGGAACCTCTAGTGCTTGCAGCCTGTGAAGTACTGGGAACCAATACCTAAATACCTCACGACCTTGGAGGTGCTTCTGGAATTTACTTGTTACCTTCTCTGGCCTTAGGTATGGGAATTGGGTTTGTCGTAGCAGTCACTAGATAGGCTATCCAAAAGACCTATTTATCCAAAGGGTTGGATTTACCTGACCACGCACTCCACCTCACATTTTGGGTAGCATGTATAGCTTCAAAACAGATAAGTGAAGGAGTATTCTGAAATATCTTTCACACATTCTCCATACTTTATCACTTGGATGTTTATTCAGTCTCTGTTTTTTTAAAAGGTGTGTGTCCTTTGGTCCAATCTCTATTTCTTTTTACATTAGCAAGTACAATGGATGTCAAAGAAAATAAAATGTTATCAGACTTTTGTTTATTTAACTGTCCTCTAGTAGCAAACATGCTTCCTTCATCATAAAGAATACATATATTATTTTTACATTATGTCCAATGTGGTCTAAATTGGACTTGCATTAAAAAGTTGTTTTTTTTATTATTTATTTGTAAGGATAATCAAGAAAAAGAAACTGGTCATGTGGTCGGGGGTGCTTGCTTTGCTGAAGAGAGAAAAAAAAAAATGAACAGGGTAAATAACCGAATGCCATTCCAGGTCAAAATTATATTTATATATATATATATATATATGTATATATATATATATATATATATATATCTGCAGGGTTAGTTGGTGGTTGCAGAGGTAATATAGGGCAGTGTAGGGGGTTCACTTTTTAACACTCTTCCCACTGTTACGGTTTGACATACAGACCTCCCTATGGCAAACTGGTAGTGCAATTGGTAAGATAATCTTATTAGGATAAATTTCATGTTTTTGTGTGTAATTTCCCAAAGACATAACAGTTATTTGCCTCTTCTTTTTTATTCTCTCTCCAGTTCTAGTAGAAAATTTGCTAATCAAGAGACATACCAATCATTGCAACAAGCAAAGACCAACTGATTTTGGACCTACAGGAAGCTAATAACCTCAGAGAAAAGCAAACCACAGGTGCTGAATTATTTTCCAGTAAAAAGCAGAGCGAAAGGGAGGCTGCTAAGCGGGTAACAGAAACAGTTGTCTTGTTCAGATCCCGGAACACGAAGCTGTGGAGACAGATGCCCATGTAAGGGTCCAGTGCGGTGACACAACCCATCCTGAGAAGCTGGCAGGATTCCCCAGCAGAGTACTTTCTGAAGAACAGGGCATGCTGGAATGTGTTTGCCTCAAGAGAGGGACCTATGCCTTGGAAAGAATGGCTAACTCCTTTAGGCACCCACATTCACAACAGGTCTCCAAGATGAACAGCTTCTGGCATGTTAGAACATAGAGAAGGGTTCTATGAGAACAGCAGTTGAACATGAGTCAGTCAAATGCAGGGACAGTGGAACTTCGGTTAACTTGGTGGAATATTAAAATCGGAGATTATTGCTGGAAGGACTGTATCCATGAAAGAAACTGCAGAAGTTTTTGTCATGCACCTATTTCCTTTACTGGTACTCCAAGCAAGGTATCAATTGCACAAGTATACCTTGCTTGGAGTATCAGGGTTAAAGGAATTCTATAGTGTTAGGAATACTATAGAGGCCCCCCATGTAAAAGGTTAAAAAAAAAACACACCTTAGTCACTTACATGATTCCAGCGCCAATGGGTCAGCTCTCTTCTGTTGCAGGGGGGAGGGGGTGGGGTGCTGATGCGCAATTAGGCCCTCTTCCTAGGAAAGCATTGCCTAAATGATTTCCTATGGGAATTTAATTGACGCTGTATGTCCTCACATATGTGAGGATGGCCAGCATCAGGTGACCTAGAGTCTGTTAACATCTAGGCAATGCCTCTAGTGGCAGTCTTAGTCCTGCAAGGTAATCACTGTACTTTCATTAAGACAACAATCATTACAAAGCAAGACTAAGTGAGACAGACCCAGCCCATTTCAATTCCCTATTTTTTTACTGGTAGGGATTTTAATCTTTACAAAAATACTCAGAAGAAGAAAGAAAAAATTACTTTTAATGTGTGAAAGTTAGAGCTCTGCAACTTTTAATTATCTGTGTTACAGCAATAGGGCTTTTTCACTTTGTGTGTTGATTTGAAAAAGCACTATTGGCAAAACGTGTCTTACAAGAGGAGGAAGCTTTGCTTTTGATGTTATAAGTATTTTATATTAAATGTATTTATTTTTTTAAATACCCTTCATCTGTCTACCTGCATACTGGTTCCACAGGGTTGTGTCACCCTAGAAACACAAGGTCTGGCAACTTGGATCATGTTATAAAGTGCCTCCTAAAAAGGTGAGCATATATTTGTATTTATCTGCATATTTACTCTGTTTTTTATAAAGCATGTTACAACTAGATATATTCCTTTTTGTTCTTTCTCTATCCTCATATCAAATGAGGAGAGGTGTATTGAAGAGCCTTTAAAAAAAATAAAAGTATTTTTTTTTTTTTTAGGCAGAAAACAAGGCCCTACAAAAATCTAGTCGATGTGAGTTTTCTATGACTCACTACACAGATTTTATTTTTTTTTTTACAGTTATTCAATATTTAATGTGTGTGATTTCAATGCCCCGAATAGTTGAGCGGTATTTGCAAACTCGCTGGTGCTGCACTTAAACTTGTGTTTAGGTGGTGGGGCACATCACCTAAACATTGAGTTGTCTGCTGCCTACACAAGCCCTCACCTGCTAACCTCACCCAGACCTTCTGTGGCTGTCCTATCAGACTTTTCAATGCAGGTGCTCTGAGGAAATGCCTGTCTCTTGAGGTTAGCTTCACTGAGCTAACCAAACCCAGATGAAAAAGGAAATGTCTGCATTAAAGCAAATGGCACGTAACAGTGTAGGTTAATATAGAAAAGTCTCAATTTCTATAAAAATCTGCACTTTAAAAAAAAAAAATAAACAAAGCATTTTAGCAAGCTAGAGTGTTTTATGGGTCTGGAGTGTCCATTTAAGAATACACCTTAACTTTTGTCGAGGAAAACAGTTGCTGTGTTGACTATATATAATTTGTTGTGATTCAAGTGAAGATAGTTTCATGATATTCTTCCAAAATGATGTTTACCAACGTTTTTTTAAAGTCATGCAAAAGCCTACACATTTTTTTAAATTCTACACACCTTACTATTGTAATTATTTCCTTTGCAGTCATAATAAACAGAAAAGCTAAAAAGTGCAAATAGGATATGATAACAGATTCCACAAGAAAAAAAAAAAAGCAGCTATTCTGGGACATTGAAGCCAGACTAATTTAGTGAATAAATTAAATAAAAACCATACAACAAGACCAACCATCGGTTTTTATAAGTTTTTATTACAAGCCCCAAGATCAATGTACAATCTTCAGTTTCGTCATCCTGGTATCCTTTATTCTTTCTGCAAGAGGGGAGAAAAAAAAAACATATACAAGTTTAGGATTACCTGAAGTGATCATAAATACTATTAGCCAATCGTGATGGATTAATATCTGCAATTATCTGGTACTGAATCAGTTATTACTTAATCCGCTATTTTGAGCATTCATAATTAACAAGGCTTAACATTTAAAGCAGGCAGAAGCAGGTCATGTGAAGCTCAATTTATAGTTTAAACAGCTATTACAGTGCATACTAATTGGCCATGCACAATCACACAAATAATGTATTTAATATGTTCAAAAATGGTCTTCAAAACCTTCATTTGTTGACAACCTGCCGGATGCCATTGCAGTGCTGTCAAGAAGCATTCATTTGGCAGAATGAATTTGGCTGCATTCATTTTCTTAAACTGCAATGTGATTTCCATGCAGTCATGCAACACTAATTTAACCGACATATATACCTGTAAAATCTATTGCTCAGCTCACTGAGAATGTGGCAGGTAAATGAAAAGGAAGAAAAATAAAGACTGTTAAAACCAGACACTTTCTTTATGCAATTGTTAAAGATCCATAAAACGTGTGTTTCAACCTTTTTATGGCAAATATATATTATATAAATATAATATATATATAAATAAGGAACAGAGAAGACACTACAACCAGTGGAAAAGCATATGGCACTCAGTTTACAGGTAGTTTCCGAAATGCAGAGCTGCCAAGACTGGCAGCCAATATAATGAACTGCCAGAAAGACTGAATGAGGGCCTTTAATCTTGTGGATAAGGGATAAATAATTGCAATTTTAGTGAACTTCAAGAATTAGTAGACCAGAGTTGACTATTATGGCCTGAGTTCAATAAAGATAGACTCAGGATTTACTTTGGGGCATTCTGGACTACCCTGGAGCAGCAAAGAAGGTATCAAGCGAAAAAAAATTAAAAAATAATAATAACTAAGTGCATAGACCAAACTCAGAGCTGCAACAGGTGAGTACATGCCATCATTTGCATAAACACCATGGCTTTAAAATCCCCTTTGGCTATGACATCAGGTCAAGTTAAGCAGACTCATACACAAAAACAGAAAAATCTGTACAATGAAGAAAAGACTAAAGGAACACTAAACACCATAACCACTAACACATATTGCAGTTATTATAGTACAAGGAGTCTTTGGGTGTAGCGTCTTCAGTTTTCCTCAAACCATTTGAATGTTTTAACAACTCCGGTTTGAAGTCCATCTCTTTGCAGCAGTACAAATTAAAGGACCACTATAGTGCCCTGAGGGTGCCCCCACCCTCAGGCTCTATGGAGAGGAAGGGGTTAAACTTGCCTCTTTCTCCAGCTCCGGGCGGGGGACTCTCCTCCTCCTCGGCTGAATGCGCATGCGCGGCAAGCGCATTCAGCCAGTCTCATAGGAAAGCATTCACAATGCTTTCCTATGGATGCTGGCGTCTTCTCACTGATTTTCACAGTGGGAAGTGTGGAAGAACCTCTAGCGGCTGTCAATGAGAAAGCCACTAGAGGCTGGATTAACCCTAAAGTAAACATAGCAGTTTCTCTGAAACCGCTATGTTTATAGAAAAAAAAAAAAAAAAAAGGGTTAACCCTAGCTGGACCAGGCACCCAGACCACTTCATTAAGCTGAAGTGGTCAGGGTGCCTATAGTGGTCCTTTAAGAAAAATGTGAAAATGTTACTTCCACATTGGACATACATAGGCGTGAGAGACAGTGGTGCCTAAGTCCACTACCAGAAGCCTGCCACTTAACAGCTGTATACAGGAGACTTAAAAGTGGTTTATATTGTAGCTGAGAGGTAAGTTTAGATGCCAGAAGCACACTTGTAATCAAACTACACAAACAAAACGAACTGTAGCAAAAATGGTTTGCACCACTGCAAGTTGTAGCAGTTACGATGATTCAGTGTGAAGATTTAACATAGGTTTATCAGGTCTTGAATATTTTACTGGTCTGGACCCACAATGGTAGTATTCGATAAAGATACCAGTTCAGCAGGTCACAAGAAGATATCAGAAAGCCTTGTGCATACACACAATAGTTGGAATATGAGAGATTTGACAAGACTCCAAACTTTGCAAAATGTGTTACTGTCAAGTGTTAAAGACTGTTTTCACCTATTAAAAAGACTACTCAGAATATGAAGTGATTACAAAAATCAAAAACAAAACTAAGCCATGAATAATCCAAACCATAACCACTACATTCTAAAATATTACACTGTTTCTATTGTAGAGTTTAAAAGCCAGAAAGTAATGTATTTCGGTAACCAGGGAAGCATAGTCTGGTGCTAGTTTTGCATAGTATCACATTCATGCCATGTTGGAGTACCTGCACGACACTTCATTTCTGATGAAAGAATCCAGGAAAGTGTGAAATAGAAAAGCAGAGACAATGAACAAATAATATAACAGCAAACCAATAATAAAATACAGCTTATGCATTGCTTTGACTTAATCCGCAACACAAAAGCTTAGTATGCTGCAAAGTTGGACAGAGACAATTTTGTCTCTTTTTTCCCCGTAGAAAGATGTCAATTTTACAGTAATTAATTGAATAAAGCAACACTATACAATAAAATAAATATATATTTTTTTTTAATAGATGCATGCACAATTGAGATTTGACTGGTTGAAGACGTGGAATACAAAACTAAGGGGAGAGAGAGGAGAAAGTAAGTTTTAATTATTCCATGTGAAATGTCAAAAAAAAATTTTTTTTAAATCAATCGACATTTCGACCCTGACGGGTCTTTTTCAAGATCCAAAAAAAGACGATTGATCAATCGAAACGTCGATTGATTTTTTTGTACATTTCACATGGATTAAAACTTACTTTTTCACTTTAACTAAGACCTGTGAGTGCATCCTGATTTTGGATTATTGTATATTTTTGGCGTACAGGATATAGCACCCAGGCAAGAAGTCCCTATTTATCGCTAAAAGGAGAGTGCCAAGCATCTATTTTGTTGAGATATACACACACACACAAAGAAAAAAGAAAAGCCAGAAAGATAAGAACAGACTAACAACGCTCAAGAAATCTGAAGATTTAGATCTGAAAATTTTTGCAATGCTAGTTTAATACACCAAGCTAATTTTTTACTAAAATATGCAATTATTAAAATAAGGAAAATCAATCCCCTGCTACCACTACAACAACATTACCCATACACACTGTTACCTTCTGCAATCCAAAATGTATTGTGTGAACATGAACGAGAAAGGTTAAGATATCAATATTTTCAATAAATGCAATCTAACATAGTAGTAAACTGTATCTCCTTATTAGAGCAATACTCTTACCTTTTTGCCAGCTCCCACAGCTGCTTTGGCTGTACCCCGGACTTTCTTCATTCTGTTCTTGCGTTCTTTACGTTGTTTTCTGGAAGTCTTTTTCTTTTCATATAGGCCATGCTGAACATAAAATATGTATAGGTCAGAATAATAATAATAATAATAATAATAATAATAATTAAAAAAACAAAAAAAAAACCAAAAACACACAAAGTAGTAAAATTTGTGACTTAAAAGTAATTTTGAAATAACGCAAGTTTACCTATATTTAAACAAGACAAACTCCTTACAGCAGCCCGATCAACCAAAAGTAAGATCATCAAGCACAATAATCTCAGTCCAATCCAATGCTTCTGATAGAGTATTTCTCTCCGCAATGAGACGCAGAGGACACGCAAGCCCTCTCTCCTCTTCCCCAGCCCCAACATCCTGTAAAAGTTTAATCACAGACTTCCCAATGTAGTCTTTTCAATAGGGATCGACCGATAATGATTTTTTAGAGCCGATACCGATATTCTGTGAACTTTCAGGCCGATAGCCGATATAATTTGCCGATATTCTGTACATTTACCATTTTGGAAAATAAAAACTATTTCTAAAGGTAAATGCACAAAATATGCATGCCACGTGTAGTGGATGCAGTGTGACAGGGGAGCTGTGTGTGTGTGTGTGTGTAGTGGATGCAGTGTGTGTCTTTGTGTAGTGTGTGTGTAGTGGATGCAGTGTGTTAATTCCTGCTTGGTTCACTGCTGCCCACCTTTAGTTTATTTAGTGAGCGCCTAACTCCTCTTTGTTGTGTCTTTGTGTAGTGTGTGTGTAGTGGATGCAGTGTGTGTTTGTGTAGTGTGTGGGTTGTGGATGCAGTGTGTGTTTGTGTAGTGTGTGTGGAGGATGCAATGTGTGTGTGGAGGATGCAATGTGTGTGTGTAGTGGATGCAGTGTGTATTTGTTTAGTGTGTGTAGTGGATGCAGTTTGTATTTGTTTAGTGTGTGTAGTGGATGCAGTGTGTATTAGTGTAGTGTGTATATAATGAAAGCAGAGTGTTTGTGTAGTGTGTGGGTAGTGTGCGTAAAGTGAATGCTGTATATACTAAATGCAAAGTGTGTGTATATAATGAATGCAGAGTGTGTGTATAGTGAATGTAGTGTGTGTATATAATGCAGTGTGTTTGTGTAGTGTGCATTATATAAACACACTACGCAAATACACTGCATTATATACACACACTATGCAAACACTGCATTATATACACACACTACACACAAACACTGCATTATATAAACACTACACAAACACACTGCACAAACACACTGAATTATATAAACACACTGCATTATATACACACACTACACAAATACACTGCATTATATACACAGTGTGTTTGTATAGTGTGTGTATATAATGCAGTTTGTGTGTGTGTATATAATGCAGTTTGTGTGTGTTTGTATAGTGTGTGTATATAATGCAGTGTATTTGTGTGCATTGTATACAAACACACACACACACTATACAAACACACACACTGCATTATATACACTGTGTGTTTGTATAGTAGTGTATGTGTATATAATGGAGTGTGTGAGGGGGCATTTTTTATTAAATTATTATTTTTATATTTAATTAATTATTTTTTTTTTGTTGTTGTCCCCCCTCCCTGCTTGTTGCCTGGCCAGGGAGGGGGATATGACAGTCCCTGGTGGTCCAGTGGTATTGGCTGAGCTGGGGGGGGCAGAGAGCAAGCGATTACTCACCTCCCAGCAGCTCCTCCAGCTCCCCAGTGCAACTCTCGCGGCCAGCGTGTCGCGCGGAGCGTTGCCATGGTGATCCATGGCAACGCTCTGACGGCCGCGGGTCTCGCGAGAGTTGCACTGGGGAGCTGGAGGAGCTGCTGGGAGGTGAGTAAGCGCTTGGTCTCCGCCCCCCCAGGACCGCCGGGCTTGTAATGAGCCTGGCGGTCCCAGGAGGTATTATCGGCAATATCGGTATCTGAATTGGCCGATACCGATATTGCCGAAAATACCGAATATCGGCCGATTATATCGGTAAAACCGATAATCGGTCGATCCCTACTTTTCAATGCAGGTGCTCTGGGCAATTGCTGCCTCTTGAGATTAGTTCTACTTAGCTAACCAAACCAGGAAGTAACAGGACTGGTTGTCTGACAATCAAGGGGGTGAAGCAGGCTAAAAGATTACTAAAGTCACCAAGATCACTTCATCTCAATGTAGTGGTCGCGGTACAGTAGTCTTGTTACTTGTACCCAGAAATGAAAGACATTGCAGTTTCTACAAAACTGCAATGTTTACATTGCAGGATTAAATGCACCTTTAGTGGACGTCGTCCTCCAAAAACAAGTAAGTGATACCAGCATTTGATTGGAGGAGCGTGGCAGTTTGCCTCACCAGTGTATCTCCAATTCATTGGATTGGAGTAGATCACGAAAGATGTCAGCAGGCAAAGAGGAGACACAACACAAAGCGCTTTGGCAAGTTAAAATGCTTTTGGTATTTGGCGTGTTCCTTTAACCATAAATGACTGTCACTAGTAATCCACTTGTCAGCCCCCACTTGAGCTATGACTAAGTCAGAGATTACACTGCAATAGGCGTCTGGGAACTCTTGTTTAGCGATAAACGATATTAAAAGGATTTAAACACAACACGGCACCAGGGGACTCCAAACACTATAACCACTTTAAGAAGATGTAGCTGTTACAGTGCCTATATGTCCCTTAAAGATGTTGTAGTTTTGGGACAGACTGTCCCTTTACGAACCACTAAACTTAAACAACTAGACAGAGCATTAAATTGCCCCTAAATGAAAGGTTTGAGAAGAAACTGTGTCTCTACTATTTCAGGTTTGGCCCAGTGCCCTCAGCCCATCACTGCTGTTAAGTATGGACAAAATAGATTAAAAACGCAGTGGGGTGGGTGCACTGGACCCAAACAATTATGGCAGTGAAACCACTACACTAACCAGAACATTTTATGGGGGGGGCGCATTGTATCCACATAATATTTTATTCCCTTTTTGGGTGAAGAGCAAGATCAGTCTCACTCACAGATGCATCACCTATCTCCATGAAAAACATGTTTCCCCAAAGCTTACACACTCCCATAATATAACAAAAACCTTACTAGTGAAATAAGTGAACTGAGAATTTTCTGTATTTATACTTACCCTTGCAAGTCTGTGTTTTGGCTCGTTCTTCTTTGCATAGTCTAACGAGTCATAGATCATGCCAAAACCTGTGGTTTTGCCACCACCAAAGTGAGTCCTAAACCCGAAGACAAAGATGACATCTGGAGTAGTCTTGTACATCTTTGCCAACTTCTCCCTAATTTCTGTTTTAGGGACAGTGGCCTTCCCAGGGTGAAGGACATCAATGACCTGCAAAAAGCAAAGCACAAGCCTAAATATAAACAGATTGTATTTAACATTTTTATTTTAAGACAACCATAATTTCAACTACAATAGACTGGCAGTTAATTAGTGGAGCTGTAATCAAAGGGTAGCTGGAGGCACAGTTTGGTATTCATTGAAGTTCTACTATTCAAAATAAAGTGGTTAATTTTCACTTAATATTCTGTAGAGTCACTGCGCCTCTTTGACATACATATAGCTATTCTAAAGTTCAGCTTACATATTTTAGAACTGAATGCAAACTGTACTTATATAGCCACAAAACATTAAATCTGGCAATTAATTGATCTTACCATCTGCTTCCGCTGCAGAAGTCTGTTTGTCATGAACTTCCTAGTTCTAATGGTCACTGTGTCGTTCTGCAGAAACAAGTTATATTGGGAAAAAATTAGCACACCAAAAATTTAAATAAGCAGCACTTGGCAAATCAGATAAGAGAGGAGCACCATGACTACTACAATATGCTGTACTGGTTATAAGGCTTTGAATGCTCCTTTAACAGAATAATTTAGATATTTTTAGCAAAATACCAATAAGTACAATTACATTTTGATAATATTCCTTCAGATCAATTTTAATATTTGGATATTAAAATACACTGGATATAAAGACCTTCAGGGGTAGTGAACACATATTAAAGTGCTAGTGAAATTTTTTTTTTTTTTTTAAAAAGTAGTTTTCTATAAAATAAAATAGATCAGGAGTAAAGGAAAGTGATAAACTCAACTTTCACTCTAAAGATTGAACAGATTATCACGTATAATCATATCCAAACACCAAAATACTTGTGTAAGTACACCGGGCAAATATTTTTAATTCATACCTACTGTATTTCTAATAGGTACTGTGTACAGCTGTACAAACTTCTGCATAACTCATAATATAAGTAAACTTAAAGGGACAAAATATGCACCAAAGCCTAAGCGAATTTATGCTACATTTATTAATTATGTAGACCACCAATATACTCCTCCCAATATTACACAGGTTTCTAGGGACTGCTGCTATACTAAATATATTCAATTGATTTTCAGGATGATGAATGTGGATCTGTATCAACCACTGTAAAACCAGTAAAATAGCACAAACACTAAATATTTTGGGTGCTGACCCAGTGGATTAGTGTTTTGCATGGGATTCCCCTCTAAAAACACACAAAAAAAATGAAAAGCTCCCAGAACCCACTACAAAGTTACTAAATAGTGGCTCCTTGCTTGTTCATATACACACACCACCGATTATGGGGTCCCTAACTAGACACTTATCTGAATCTCAGCTACAAACTACACAGTCACTGGATTCTCTGACACTGGGTCCCTTGAAAGAAATGTTTATAAAAACTATCTTACTCAGGCACAAGTCAACTAATCGTTAAAACCCTTATGGCAGAGTTTCTATTGGGGGTAAACATTCAGGCTTAGGATAAGTTGCATGCCTATTACAGCAAAGATAGCAGATGTAATTTTGTACAACTATACATAGCCATATCCCATGCTTTGAAAAACACACGCTTATACACTGTAACAGCCCCAACTATCTCTTCCCCTCCCTCCATTCCCTTGTAGCCACACAGGAATCTATCCGCAGGTCAATGGCTAAACAGGGGCCCTCACTTAGATGGCAGGTGTCCACAGTCCAGGTGATAAAATAGCACATTTTATTGACTTTATGTATGCATGACGTGTGGGGAACGTCCAGGGAGAGCCACTGGGTCAGCAGGCTTTAACCCGAGCAAGGCCGCACCAGACTCCGGCTCCAACACTCACTGCTCTCAAACCATTTCCATGAATGCCCGTCCACAAATACCTCGGCCATCCGCCTCAGAGACTCGCAGAAAATATAATCTATGGCACAGAGCGTCTTCCGAGGCAGGATGGCGGAGATATTAAACGGATTTTATAAATCAGCCGGGCAGCGACACTCACCATCTTGGCTGCTGTCTCTCTAAGGGACGACGGAAAGAAAGAAGGAATCACTTGCAGCCAATCATAACGCGAGGAACGCGCACCAGGGCGGGGCCACGGTGAGAACCCTGAGCCGATGAACGGCTGATGACAAATGCCAATCAAAGATGAGACCCCGCCCAGTCACAGTGTGAATTTCACTTGAGGGAACACTATGCTGATGTAGACGCGCACAAATCCTGCGACAAGAAGTCACGGCAGCCATAGTTATTTCGGGCATAATAATGTAACTTTACTTCGTTAAATCAAATACAATAAACATGTACTTTTAACCCCTTAAGGACTGAGCCAAATGTACACGTTGTGATCAAAACGTAAACAAAACCTGGCATTTGCGCTACATGTCTGTCCAACCGTAATTCACCTCTTTCATATTAAATACACCTACACTTATTATATATCATTTTATTCAGGGGAAACAGGGCTTTCATTTAATATTAAATATTTAGGTATGAAACATAATTTAATATGAATAACATATTAAAAAATGGGGGAAAATAAGATTTTTTAAAAGTTTTTTAGTTCTACGTGACAATTTAACTGTGAATGTCATAATACTGTTTGCTTTTACTGCAATAAAATACACATATTTGTATTCAGCGATGTCTCACGTGTAAAACAGTACCCCCTATGTACAGTTTTTAAGGTGTTTTAAGATGTTACAGGGTCAAATATAGCATGTTGAATTTTTCATTTTTTTCACATTGAAATTCGCCAGATTGGTTACGTTGCCTTTGAGCCCAGGGTAGCCCAGAGATAAGAATTACCCCCATAATGGCATATCATTTGCAATAGTAGACAACCCAAGGTATTGCAAATGGGGTATGTACAGTCTTTTTTAGTAGCCACTTGGACACAAACACTAGCCAAAGTTAGCATTAATATATGTTTGTGTGTGAAAAAAGCAAAAACTAATTTGAACACCAATTTTGGGCAGTGTTTGTGACTACTAAGTGGCTACTAAAAAATACTGGACATACCCCATTTGCAATACCTTGGGTTGCCTACTATTGCAAATGGTATTGAAAACACCTTAAAACCTGTACATGAGGGGTACTGTTACCTTTTGTATCCATTCTCTAATTGACAGTATGTGAGGTGCTTTCCATTTAAGGGGTATCAATTGATTGGCTGCCATGAGCATGTGGGAGGGGAGTAGGAACAGAAAGATAGCAGGTGAGAACGGGATTTGTGACTTCAGAATTGTCTGGGTTAAGAAGTGTATGTGTTTCCAAAACTTCTCTATCCTCTGGCATTGCCACCATATATGTGAAGAGTGTGCTGCAGGTTCATTGCATCTCCAGCAATTGTCAGCAAAAGTTTGTGAATCTTGGTCGGAGTGTAGTGCCATCTGGAGAGACGTTTATAGTTACTCTCCTGTATCGAAGTTGAAGAGGAGGCTTTGTGAGTTTTTAGGAATATTTGTCGCCATTGAGCTTCAGTTATATCCAGACCCAGCTCCTCCTTCCATTTCTGCGTATATTGGGGTATGCCCTGTGATTGAGCTTGTTGGATCTGTGTATAGAGTGTGGATAGCAGTTTACTTTTAAGTGGATGAGTGAGACAGAGGTTCTCGTATTGTGTAAGTTCCCTCCCCCCTGAAGGCAGCAACCGTGCACTGCAGATAAAGTGGGAGAGTTGAGCGTATTGTAGTTGTTGTATCCCGGTAGGTGTGGCCCCTAGTGTGACTTCTTTTAGTGGCTTTAGAGTCCGGTCTATCACTCCTGTAGCCAGAGATATGAGTCACTGGAATGGTGTTTGGACAAAATCCTCACAGTTCCGTCTGAGAGAAATGGGTTATGAGAAAGGGGGTAGAGTCGGGAGGGGTAGGGAGCGATGTTTGTGGACTGAGTTAACTGTGTCCATACTCAAAGTGTGGGCATTATCGTTGGGTGTTTTTTTGTGTTCTACAAATGTCATACCCGCTTTGTGTCATGGAAGGGTTTAGATAGGAATTGTCATGAATGAGTCCTCTAAGGCTACCCACTGTTGGGTTGGTCGAGTCTTTGTCCATTCGTATATCCTAGTTAGATGTACTTTGTGGTAGGTATCTAAGCCTGGTAGGCCGGTCCCTCCCATCTCTCTCCGTTTACTCCCATGGAATACGCCAGTCGTGGATGAGTATTGGACCAGATGAATGAATTGAAAAAGTTCTGAGGGATGTGAAAAATTTTTTAGGGAGTGCTATCGCGAGCGTTTGGAGTGGATAAAGTATGCGTGGCAGTATATTCATCTTTATAATGTTGATTCTGCTGAACCAACCATAGCATGGTTTATGCCATTGTTTAAGATCTTTAGATATGGCTGTGAGCAGGGGGAGGAAATTTCATTTGTATAAGTGTTCCAACTCGGTCGGCAGGTGCCTCCCGAGGTATTTAATAGAAGTGGTGCCCAGGAGAAGTAAAAGCGTTGGAGGAGTATGTTGCCCAGATCCCTGGACGTGTACAGAGGGAGCAGTTCGCATTTAGACAAATTTGCTTGGTAGTTGGATACATAACTATAAGTACTCATTTCTTTTAGGATGTGTGGGATAGTGTTTAGTGGGTTTGATATTGTAAATAGGTCAAATGCGGACATCTTGTGTTCTGTGTGTCCGATTTTAAGGCCCCAAATATGAGGGTTATCCCTAGTTACTTGAAGAAAGGATTCTAACACCAGGATGAATAGGAGAGGTGAGAGGGGGCATCCCTGCCTCGTTCCATTCAATATTTGCACCGGTTCCGATAGTTGGTCATTGATGCGTAATCTGGCAGTGGGTTTTGAGTATATTACTCCCAGCCATTCCTGCCAGCGTAGACCTTGTCCCAGAAACTGCATTGTTGTCAGCATCAGGGACCAGTTTACCAGATCAAAAGCTTTCTCAGCTTCTATGGCCAATTATGCGCTTGGGATCCTATTCGATTGTGCCCAATGCATCAGGCTGAGAATTTTAGTGGTACTGTTTTTTGCCTCCCTGCCTGGGACAAATCCTGATTGGTCTACATATGAGCTCGGGGAGTATCGGCTTGAGCCTGTTGGCCATTATTTTTGTCAATAATTTTATATCCGCGTTTATCAAAGATATTGGCCTATAGCTGCCACAATTCTGTGGGTCTTTGCCCGGTTTAGGGATCAACGCAATGGTTGCCTCTAAAGCGGGTTTGGGGATATGGGTTGCTAATTAGCGCAAGTTAAACGCGGTGATGAAGGGATCAGCTAGCGTTTGAGACAACAGTTTATAATATTTGCTAGTAAAGCCATCTGGGCCTGGGCTCTTGCTTAGCGGGATTTTTCTGATGATCTGGTGAAATTCATCTTTAGATATGGTGTTGTCTAGGTAAGACATCACATTGTGGGGTATTGTGTTTCGGATCCTTTTTTGGAGGTCATGAATGTCCGTCTGGGAGGGTGGTGTGTGTCTTAGGTTATAAAGTTGGGTGTAGAAAGTGTGAAAGGCATTCAGGGTTTTGGATATATATATATTTTAATTATTTATTTTTATTATCTTTTTATTTAAATTTTTTAACATATTTACATTTTTTTTAATATTATATATAAATATATATAAGTGTGTATATATATATTTAATCAATATCATTCTACGTGTATTTTGATATTAATATATATATATATTAATATTTAAATACACTTAGTGTATGTGTATGTATGTGTAAATGTATATATATACTTAGATCATATATATATATATGTATATATACATATATATATATGATCTAAGTATATATTATTTAATTTTTAACTGTTTTAAACTTTTATTTTACATTTTACAGCCAGCAGTGGGATTGCCTGTCATTCCAGGCAGTCCCCCTGCTGGCAATAAGCCTTATATTTATATTTATTTTTATTTTTATATTTATATTTATATTGCTCTGTAGAGTAAATATAACTTCAATTAATTATAACCTATAGAGGCAGTATAAGGTTTATAACATCTAGACTGCCTCAAGAACAAAATTACTAGGTCAAAATATTGATCCTAGTTATAATATAGTAATTATCTATACGAGCATTACATAAGAATCAAAGATACAATTTATTTTATATAATAAAATTTTTAAAGTAATTTTAAATTAATTTTATCACCCTTTTGTGTTCAGTCTTATTAAATGAAAACGGCAGTTATATTTAAACCTGCTTAGGCGGGTGTTACTATAGTAACAATAATAAATAAAGAAATGCAATATACTATGTTGAAGAATATAACAATGAGTAATGTTTTTTTAAGTCTGCTATTATGTAACTTATTAGTTTCACATAGTAAGCATATCTTTGTAGCATTGATTTTTTGCCGGGAAAAAGCAAGCCGACTAACACTATATAAACGGACACAATGAGGCAGACTGCATCCATTGAGAAAGCCGCCGGAGCGGAGAAAACGCGTTTGGAGGGGTCTGACTCCCATCGATACAAGCCATCATTTGCACTTCGAAGAGGACTTTTAAAGTGATATTTTTCAGCTTTTTCAGCATTTTCTTTGGTTGACTCGGGACGCCGAGATTATCAAATAAGGTCTGGACTTTCTTCCCCTTTTGTGCACGGCTTATTTTCTTACATACATACTATTTTTAATAGTTGTTATTTTTATTTGTACATTATTAATAAATTGTGTTTTATAATTAATATATAGTAAGTATATAGTAAGGCTATATACTATTATGAGTTATTAGAAGATAAGGTACTTTTATTGATTTTTTAATAAGCCATAATCATCGCACTTATGACAAATCACAGCTTGAACTATCTTGCTTTGCATGTAATGCAACTATCTCATATATTAGTTTCCCCTTTCACGTTGCATTACTGAAATAAATGAACTTTTGCACGATATTCAAATTTTTCGAATATCACCTGTATGCGAAGAGCTCCATGTTGAAAAAGCATTAAATCCCAATTTCTCTATGGAATTTCAACCAAAAAATGCACAAAATACAGGCCTGGCCTCCATGGAGCAAAAACCCGATAAGCCCAGGCCGGGCATGAACAAAGGGGAGATGGTGCGTTTGGGCCCAAGATGGCCGCTGACCTCGACGAATACTCTGATTCCTTTGGGGAATTCTTGCTGGGTGTGGGCAGCACTGCAACACCAACACCAGCTCATCACATTCGGTCCCTCGAAGTGCTGACTTGGCACCGGTGACAGC